TAGACTTGGTGGCTCCGTCCTTTCTTTGGAACCTTAGTTCAGGGTTGCAGAGCTGGGGGCAGTAGAAAATGGTTTTAGTAAGCTATCATACCTGGGCTTTAGAACTCCAAATGACATTGATAGCACTACATAGCTAGAGTCTTTTGTATCTCTTTGCTGTAATATGACTGTCATCCAGATTTTTTTTAATCCAAATATGGGAGTCCTAACACCTACAAACTAAACCCTAGCTCCTTAGGAGTGATCTAATCAGACACTTTCTCCAAAGCAAGTTAAAATTCTACATAAATAGACAATCACAATTTTTTAAAATACAAAACAGGAACATCAGCATCAAAGAAAATAAAGGCCCATTTAGTTGTCAGTGGGTTCAAGCACTATTTAAAATATTTTCATCATATATCAGTAACCGAACAATAATAGTACCAGAAATGTTATGGGAAGGAAATTCCATTACTAGAAGCACTTAGGTGGTCATCTGATAACATCTCACATAGTGAGAAATCAAAGCATTACTTCAGTTCATTGGGTGCATTCACCTTTGCAGGAAGCTTTAAAATAGATGTGGGGGAACAACTGGTATCCTAGGAGGGCCCTTAGCTGCAAAAGGTGCAGCTTGCAAAACTGTGGGAACGTCTACCTGCTTTTCTTTCTAGTCAGCTGGCTGATAGGGAACTCACTATTACTTTCCCATTGTGATTAGCAATAGAAAACTGATTTTCTGTTTCCCATCAGACATTGATCATGTTGATCAATTGCCCTGTGAAAGTAGATGTATCATTCCCTGCTGCTAATGCTAGAGAAAACAGCTTTCTTGAGGAGAACTGTTTGGGGGTAGGGATGAGGCTTTTTCTCTCCACAGACTCTCTCAAAATTACCAGAAGGAAAAGGAATTCTGCTTCCACTCTCCTTCTCAGCAGCAGCATCATTCCTTTGACCAAGGATCTTTTGAGTTGGAAAGAAGGATACCATCTTGCAGGCAGAGAGGATGGTGAGAGAGGAATATACATGTAATACATGAAAATGGGGCTATAGCAATATTAATCATGCGTTCAAATCAGAACTGGAGCTGAAACCATACTAGAAATCAATAGAGATGATGCAATATTAGCATTATACATTTCTTTGCTGGGTTCCAATTAGTATTCTCACAACCACATTTTTAATAAGCTCAGATTCTATACACACTTTAAAGGCGTGATCATGTAGAACATGTAACAGTAATCTAATCTGGATGTGACTGAGTCATGTGTGGTTGTAATTAAATCTAATGTTTCTTGGAAAGGGCACATCTACCATACAGGTTTACAATGTAGCAAACAAATCTCCAGTTCACAATCAGGGCACCCAGAAACTGTTTGCTGTTCTCCCAAGTTGCAAATCTAATCAGGATACTGTTTCAACCTGATCAAAGATTCATCTACTATATCTTGACTACTGTAACGCACTCTACATGGGGCTGCCCTTGAAAAGTATCCGGAAGCTTCAGTTAGTTCAGAATGTAGTGGCCCACATAGTTTTGTGCAAGCCTAGATTTGCACACATGTCACTTCTTTTTTGGGAGCTGCATTGACTGCCAATTTGCTTCTGGGTCCAATTCAAGGTGCTGGTTGTCACCTTTAAAGCCCTACATGG